CCTCCATTGGTGTATCTAACGATGATTCGATATCAGCTCTTGGGTCATTTTCTGTTTATTTGATTACTGGGTTGTTTCTAGCCGTCGGATTCTGGGTTGCTCGAAACAAATATTCCGTCGATCTCGTATCTGATCCATCTCTTACTCTACGTATAATCTCGGTACTACACTCTACTTCTTTTTCTGTTTATACCTGGTTTTTTGTGTTGTTTAAAATGTGGATTATCACTGAAATTAGCCTTGTTTTGATGTTGATTTTTTTTCAGAGTATTGAGTTTACGGTTGTGGTAATCATTTACAGCTTGTTCCGGAAAAACCCAGAGAAATGTTCGGTGAGTGTGGTTTACTTCTGATTTCTTGTGATATTTCTGTGAAATTGAAGTGATTAAAGAAGCTGACTTTTCTCCTTTTACTCTTTTGCTTTGTTGATGGAATCTCGCAATTACAGAATTTGAAGAAATATTTTGCTTTACATAGAGAAGAATTAATGCGTTTGGTTTCTTGTGCTTCTCTCTTTTAATGGTTTCCTGCTTGCTTTCCAGTATTTTAACGCACTTGGACGAAGCATAGTAGGACTAATTTCAGGTCAGTGTTTTTGTTTTTAAGCTTATTATAGTTGGTGCTTTGTCATTCTTGTGCAGTACAAGAACAAAAACAATCAATTGGTTAGTGAGTTCACTTGTGATTTCAAGTTGATTAGCGTAACCTGACCGTGAGAATGATCACTCTGTTTTCCGAGTTAGCAATATGTATTAGCTCATCTAGTTAAGTCAAATGCATGAAGGATCGAAATCTGATCGGTTTACTGTTTTCAATATCCTTTGATGGTGAGTTCTCTAACCTTTGTTTTGTTTGTATAATAGGCGCTTTTATAAATGCCTTGGGAGCAATTGCTTTGGGTGCACCTATCGGAATGCAGTATGTTTTCACCAAAGATATTGTTTGGTTTTTTATCTTTTTGGAAATACTGTTTGTTATCTGGACTTTTCACTGATTGTGATCACCCTTTTTCATTGAGATTGCGTGATTTTCAAATTTTGACATGAGCGTTACCTCTCCTCTTATGCAGATCTCTGACAAAAACAATTCACTGGTCCCTTCTAATGTCTGTTTTCACGGTAAGCTGCTTGATGCAGTTCCAGTGACTGAAAAATGTAATGATGTTCATAGTCAAACTGTGCATGTGTATTTTTTTTTTTCTGCAGTTTGACCTTTGATTATACTTAATAATGTTGATTCATAGTTTGTACCAGCAACTGCAGTTTTTGGTGCATCATGGACAGATTGGCATCGTGTGTTCGCTTCGATGAAGTATGTTACTTACGTTAGCCTTATATTCACACAATCTCTGTTTTTGAATTATGATAGATGCAAAATCTCATTGTCTCACTTACGTCTATCCCTCTCATCTACCAAACACGTTCGAAAATTATATCACAGCTCACACAATCTCCATCTTTTCGTTTCTTTTAGACCAGCTGGAAATATAGAATATATGATCTTTGTTCCAGCATACGGAGCTATAGTTGGAGGGTGGTTTGGAGCCTGGCCTATGCCGCTCGACTGGGAAAGGCCATGGCAGGTTAATATCTCTTTTATCTTGATATAGACAGTCAGGAGCTTGGTTCTTGTTCTTGGTCATGGTCCTGAAACCTATTACCCCCCTTTTTCACGGTCATTGCAGAATAAGTGGTGAGTATATATACATATAACTAATCCTTATATTAACTCTTATCAACAGGAGTGGCCTATATGTGTGTGCTATGGAGCTATAGGAGGATACATTGTTGGACAGATTGTCTCCTTGAGTTTGATGTTTTTCATCAGGAAACACAAGAATTTGAAGCTAGCTTAGAATGAGATTGTTGGTCTCTGGATCTGCAAGCACGAGTTGAGAGACAACAAGGAGTCAATGAGGCAAGTGTTTAGTTTTTTGTTAAGCTTGAACAAAATTTGTTATTTTCCACAGAGAATCATGTGTTTCAGAATTGCAAAACATCTTTTAGTCTGTTTTGAGATCTAGATTGTGCATCTTCTTCATCATCAGTTTCCTCTCACTAGGATCATGTCTGATTCTGAACATATCAAAGACCAGTACTAAATACTCTAAAACCACAAGTTAAGAGATCATTTGAAATCATACGAATTATTGGGCTAGGCTCAATTAGGAAGATAATTAAGATCAATCAAGGCATATCAGACCATATGTGTTGTCAATTTTTTGAAAGTGATTTAGAAACATCAAACGTTGAAACCAGAACTGGTCTGTCTTGTCGATTTGATTCATAACATTTACTAAACCCCTTGACAAAATTAAGCTGAAATCCAGTTAAATTTTCGAAAACAAACAAAACAAAAGGATAGGAAAAATTATTAGGGAAATTGGGTGGAATAACCCAAAAAAAATTATAACTAAAAACATAACCAATTAACCTATATCTAGTGTATATAATTATGCCACATACCCCTATTTTAGTTAGTTCTCTAATTATTAATTTTTTTTTTGTTATTGAGCAAATTAACCCAAATTATTATATATCCGGTTTTTTACAAAAATTTCCTACTCAATTAAGAAAAACACAAAAAGAAATCTATGCAATATTGTAGGTGATGTCAAGCACAGGGTGGACAAACCCTGTCGGATGACGTGGCAGACGGTAATTGGTTGACAGGGTCTAAGTTAAGTCTCCTTCGAAGTGCATAAACTCTGAGAAGATGGTAAAAATGCCGTAAAAAGATGGCATACCTGAAAGGGTGACTGACCATTTGATTGCATCTCCCATTTATATCTCACGTATCATGTTCTATCCTTTTTTGTTTAACAATTTAAATTTGATTGGTTTAAAGTTTGTAGACAATTTAAAACATGAGTAAAAACAAAATATTCACAACACTAAACGTAAACGGTCGACTATAAAATTATAAATCAGTGTATTACATAAGTTGTTTTAGAAAACCTTTGCATACACTTAGAAAACGTGAATAAGTTAAAAGTTAAAACCATAAGTTTTGAGTTATCAAAAAAAAAAAAAACCATAAGTTTAGAGAGTTTAGAAAGAAGTTGAGTGTCAAGATGAGATATTGGTAGTTGAGTTTAGGAGTTTAGCTATGGTCACGTCCGCCGCGGTTGATGCGCTTGCCGTTTTTGCGTCTCGCCAACGGTTTGAGAGATAGACAACATCTCTTGCATCTTTTGCGAAGGTTTGCCATGCAGATTACCATGCAGTGATAGTGAGACAACTCTCTATCCTGGTCATATATAGCTTATAAGAATAACAAGAACCTTCTCAAAGGTTCATTGGTTTCTATGATAATGTACAACCTCAACGATGCTTGTAGTATTTGTAATCTGCGAGGTGATGTGACTAAAATAGTTCATGTGTTACCATATAAAATTATATGGTAAAATCGTTTGATGACATTGTTGATTTGATATATAAAGAAATGTGTGTTTATTTGATGGATGAGAAATACATCATATGATATATTTTCAGATTTAAAAATGTTTATATTTTGAAAAATATATTTTTAAGTTCATTAGTAGGATATGTTAGATCATTCAAG